GTTTGTTTCCAACACGAGCCATTCAATATCATAGTAATCCAAGTCTATGCCCCTACCACTGATGCTGAAGAAGTTGAAGTCGATCAGTTTTATGAAGACCTAGAAGACCTCCTGGAACTAACACCTAAAAAAGATGTTCTATTCATCATCAGAGATTGGAATGCAAAATTAAGAAGTTAAGATCTACCTCAAGTAACAAGCAAATTTGGCCTTGGAGAACAAAATGAAGCAGGGCAAAAGGTAACTGAATTCTGCCAAGAGAATGCACTAGTCATAGCAAATACCCTTTTCCAACAACACAAGAGACTACTTTACACATGGACATCATCTCAAATTGTTCTTTGTAGCTGAAGACAGAGAAGCTGTTTACAGTCAGCAAAAACAAGACCTGGAGCTGACTGTGGCTCAGATCATCAGCTTCTCATAGCAAAATTGAGACTTAAACCAAAGAAAACCAGAAAAAAAAACTAGACCAGCCAGGTATCACTTAAATCAAATCCCGTATGAATTCACAGTAGAGGTAATGAACAGATTCAAGGACTAGATCTAGTTAACAGTGTGCCTGAAGAACTATGGGCAGAGGAGGCAGTGAACAAAACTATCCTAAAGAAAAAGAAAAGCAAGGAGGCAAAGTGGTTATCTGAGGAGGCTTTATGAATAGTGGAAGAATGAAAAGAAGCGAAAAGCAAGGGAGAAATGCAGAGTTTCAAAGAATAGCTAGAAGAGACAAGAAGGCCTTCTTCAATGAAGAGTGTTCAATAATAGAAGAAAACAACAGAAGGGGAAAGACTAGAGATTTCTTCAGGAAAATCAGTAACATCAAGGGAGGATTCCGCCCGAAGATGGGCACAATAAAGGATAGATATGGTAGAGATCTAGTAGATGCTGAAGAGATCAAGAAGAGATGGAAAGAATACTTGGAAGAACTGTATAAAAAATATCTTAATGAACTGGATTATTACAATGCTGTGGTTAGTCACCCAGAGCCAGACATTCTGGAGTGCAAAGTCAAGTGGATAAAGCTAGTAGATGCTGTTAATAAGAAACACTGCTGTTAATAAAGCTAGTGAATGCAATGAAATTCCAGCCGAACTATTCAGATACCTAAATGAGAATGCCATCAAGGTTTTGCATTCATTATGTCAGCAAATCTGGAAGATTCAGCAGTGGCCACAGGACTGGAAAAGGTCAATCCTTACCCCAATTCCCAAGAAGGGTAGTGCCAAAGAATGTGCTAACCATCAGACAATTGCCCTCATCTCCCATGTTAGTAAGGTCATGCTGAAAATCTTGCACGCTAGGCTTCAGCATCATGTGAACAAAGAACTTCCAGATGTCCAAGCTGGGTTTAGAAAAGAAAGAGGAACAGAGATCAAATTGCCAACATTCATTGGATTATAGAGAAAGCAAGGTAATTTCAGAAAAATATCTATCTCAGTTTCATTGACTATGCTAAAATCTTTGAATGTGTGGATCATGAAAAACTGTGAAAAGTTCTTAAAGAGATGGGAATACCAGACCATCTTTTCTGCCTCCTTCAAAACCTGTATGTGGGTCAAGAAGCAACAGTTAGAACCCTATATGGAACAACTGATTGGTTCAAAATTGAGAAAGGAGTGTGACAGGGCTGTCTGGGGTCACCCAGTTAATTTAATCTATATGCTGAGCACATCGTGAGAAATGTTGGGCTGGATGAATTACAAGTTGAAATCAAGATAGGTGGGAGAAACATCATAGATATGCAGATGATATCACTCTAATGGCAGAAAGCAAAGAGGAACTAAAGAGCCTCTTGATGAAGATGAAGGAGGAGAGTGAAAGAGCCAGTTAAAACTAAATATATATTAAAAAAAAACTAAGATAAAAAGAAATAGAAAAACTAAGATCATGGCATCTGGCCACATTCAGTTCAGTTCAGTTGCTCAGTTGTGTCCAACCATTTGTGACCCTGTGGACTGCAGCACACCACGCCTCCCTGTCCATCACTGACTCCCGGAGCTTGCTCAAACTCATGCCCATCAAGTCGGTGATGCCATCCAACCATCTCATCCTCTGTTGTCCCCTTTTCCGCCTGCCTTCAATCTTTCCCAGCATCAGGGTCTTTTCCAATGAGTCAGTTCTTTGCATCAGGTGGCCAAAGTATTGGAGCTTCAGCTTCAGCATCAGTCCTTCCAATGAATATTCAGGACTGATTTCCTTTAGGATTGACTGGTTGGCTCTCCTTGTTGTCCAAGGGACTCACAAAAGTTGGGTCTTCTCCAACACCACAGTTCAAAAGCATCAGTTCTTCGGTGCTCATCTTTCTTTATGGTCCAAGTCTCACATCCATACATGACTACTAGAAAAATCATAGCTTTGACTATATGGACCTTAGTCAGCAAAGTAATGTCTCTGCTTTTTAATATGCTGTCTAGATTGGTCATAGCCTTTCTTCCAAGGAGCAAGCATATTTTAGTTTCATGGATGCAATCACCATCAGCGGTGATTTTGCCTTGTCTCTCATGGACATACAATTTGAAAGGTTTCTTTAAGTCTGGTAGTCCTAAGGCCAGAGCTGGGAGTAACTTTGTCTTTATGGTAAAACAGTTAATGATCAGGTAGGCCTCCAGGGTCCCCACACGAAGAGAAGAGGTGAATAGACAAACAGCGGACGTTTTTTTCCTCTACATTCCTTCACTGGGCCTTAGTCATGTAAGAGGCACCTTGAATCCTGTGTTGCTATGCCGACTACCTGAAACTAACTTTTTCAAACCATGAGCTGCTAATTGCTCAACAAACCCATATATCTTGCTAATAAGACTGTCCCAATGTCCTTCTAAAGCTATGTTAATGAAACAATGTATCTTGCTCTGGAGGACATGTTTCTCCTTCTTTACAGAAACCTGTTCCTTCTGGCTAATCTTACTATCTTAATATGTATGTTGTGGGAGTGGGTTTGGTAAGACCTTTACAACCTTGACCTATTATTAGTAACCAATTGAAAAAGTATATAATACCTTGCTAAAAACTAGCAAGGGGGGTGGGAAGGGTTGCTCCTTTCCCCTTCCAGTGCCTCTTGCTGGATGCTTTATTTTTGAGTTTGGGTAGGCTCGGGGAGTTGGTGAGGGACAGGGAGGCTGTTGCAGTTCATGGGATCGCAAAGAGTCGGAGGCGACTGAGCGACTGAACTGAACTGATGGCATATTGGTGCAAGGGAAATTGCCCTGCTCTAGAAGTGGCTCCCAATCCAAATTGGGTTCCCTACCAATTGGATGATGATGCCAAGCCAGGCTCCTGTGCCCTGAGTGTTAACATAGAAACCCCTAATTGATCTCCACAAGGAGGGGATATACTGGTGGCTCCACCAGTGGAGGAGTTGGGTTTAAGTTCTGAAACAAAATATCCTCACTCTCACTTTCTCCCTCTCCCTCTTGTAGAATAGATGTTTCCTTCCAGATTGCTGCACCATAAGGCAGTAGCCATCTGACTTTTCTTCCTGATGTAATAGCATAAATGCCTCTACCTATGGAATCTCATCATTTTTACCTGCCCTTTCACAAAACAATTTTAATTGTGAGATCATATAATTAAGTGAGCCATTTAAGGGTCATCGATTTCCTGATTCTAGTGTATACTGGGACCACACACCATTACAACAGGCTATCATCTCTTTCTTAGTCATGGGCCCACAGCTATATCTTGCCTATTTATTTAGGATACAGCCCAAAGGTGTTTTCTTAGGGAGAGATGGAATATTTCCCCTATTTGATAAGTTCAAGAATCACAAAACAGAAATTTAAAACCAAAGGCACAAACAGATTCCATTATGAATGGACACAAAAAACAAAAGCAAATGAACCAGTTCACAAAATCAGGTAAATTCAACAATTCCCCCTTTCAAAAGTGTACCCTGAAACCTGGTTTTTCCTTTAAAGGAAAAGTCCAAATTGAGAGGGGAATATGTTCCCAGCTGTACACACCAGAGCAACTTACCTTACTATATGGAGCCTGTCAGCTCCCAAATGTCAATTCCTTGCTCCAATTGCCAAGCACTGGGCAGCCCGTGCCACTTCAGGAAATTTTGAAGGGAAGATCCTCAGGACAAATGTACTGGCAGCTGCTAGGGCCTTACCTGAAAATTCCGCAAGTGGGGTCAGCTCACCACGAGCAGCATGGCTCCTGGCTGGCTCACCAAAATTTGTTACTGAGCCCAAGCTCATTCTGCTCAACACATGACAGGTCAATAAATCAACAGACAAGTTGTTGGAGCAATGAATGATGACTTTAATTAGAAGGCTACCAGACTGAGATGGTAGACTAGAGTCTCCAAAAACCATCTCATCTCACTCAGGGTTCAGGGTCCTTTTGTATACAATAGGGAGGGGGAAGGGGCTTTCAGTGGTACCAACCAATGGCAAAACAGGGCTATAAGCTGGTTGCTGGTTGACAGTTGCTCACTTGGTTGGGTGGGAGGGGCAGTCCCACTGGGGTGCCCTGACCGCTGCTCAATGGGACTGTTACAGCTGGTGTCTGTCTCAACGAGCATGCGGGCCAAAGCCAGGGAGGGAAAGGACCCTTATGCCTTAGGTCCCATGTGGGACCACTGCTACAACACCACAGCATGGCCAGTGTAATGCGACTGCTTTTCACACGCAGCTCAGGATCTCCAGAAATATATGCTATGCAAACTCCACAGATGACATTCTGCAAAGTAAAGGTGGCAGCAAAAGTGAAAGCAAAAAGGAAGATGGTGAAAAGGTTTCTTGAAATAATGGTAAACCTGGGGCTAAAAAAGATTGTTTACCAATAATAAAAGATTATTGACTCTAAGTTCAGTCCACCTTTTGCAGATCACCTCCTTTAGGGTTTGTGGCAACTCAAATCTGGCAACAACTTTGTACCTGAGTAGTAACTGTGGGTGAGTGTGGGGAGCACTTACTCCTCCTGAACACATACCTCAAAACGGGTATCTTTTCAATGATTTTTAAGATAAATATATTAACATGATAGTTGCTGAGCCTATGGATAAAATCACAGAGAAAGCAGTGTGAAATTTATGCGACCCACCATTCCTGGTTGTAAGTCATACAGAAACATATTCTGGCAAATTTAGGCTAAAAAGGAATTTATTGGAAACTTTTGGAAAGCTGATAGAATTATAGGGAAGGCTGGAGGAACAGGTGCCAAAGATGCTTGGTGATAGGGTCTGCATGGGGCCTCATTGTGCTAACCTCGCCAACAAAAGATAAAGTCACAGTGACACATGAAACTGATCACATTGCCCAAGCAACATCCTGTTTTCACCGCTGGCACTTACTTTCCCAAGACTATAAGATCACCCTACCGTGGGACACCTCTGGCTCTCTCAAGACTACGTGACTGCCAAACTCCACTTGAAGGCTAAAGATAAGCTAACCACCCCACTTCAGGGGACCCAGTTTCCCTCTACTGGGTATAAGAAGGATTCACCAGAAGGGTGGGTTCTTTTCGAGAGCCAATCACTCTTTCATTTCGCTTTAATAAATCTCCTTTTCTTTGCCTAACTGCCCGGCTTGTTGTCTTCTTCTCCGCACTGGCTTTCCAGTTGGGGAATCCTGGAGGCTTGAACCGGCATTAACGTTCTGGAAACTGCCACTAACGCCACTGCTGAAAGGGCTGCCGATTTGCTGATACTGGATGCAGTAAGCTGCTGCCACCTGTGGCCGGCCCCTACACCAGGGAAAACAGCTTCTTCCCGAGGTGAGGCTAAGGCGAGTGACTGTCGGTCCTGGCGAGAGGCGGGCCCACGCCACTGCGCCACAGCCTTCCGCTCTTTAGTACCGGCATTAGGACCCGGCGTAGAACGGAATGAGGCTCGGGGGAGGGGCTAGGGGAGGTCTTCGCACGCAGCTGACGTAATCAGCCCGCGCCAGCAGCGGCCAGGGCTGTGGAGAAACACGTTTCTTGCTGGCCTCAACGCTAACCTAACATGGCGGCCCGCATACAGCAGTCTCCTCAGCCTGGCGGCGGGAAACGTAAAGGCAAGGCTCAGTATGTGCAGGCCAAGCGGGCTCGGCGCTGGGATGGCGGTGGGCCCCGCCAGCTGGAGCCCGGGCTACAGGGCATTCTTATCACCTGTAACATGAACGAGCGCAAGTGCGTAGAGGAGGCCTATAGCCTGCTCAACGAATACGGCGACGATATGTATGGACCAGAAAAGGTACCAGTCCCAGGGAGGGCAGGCCTTTGAGGGAAAAGAGAAGGGTGGCAAGCTAGTTGCGTGAATTTGGCCGCCAGAGTGGCGGTGAGGAGGCGTGGCCTCGCCTAGGTATATTTCCCCCCGCCTGCCCCATCCCCACCTGGTCTTGTGCTTGAAATGCTTGCACCTCTTTGTTTTCCACCCCCATTGTTAATTACGGTGGCTTCCAGGTATAGATTGCTTCTTTCGGTTCAGGCGTTGTTTCTGCAGCTCTTTCAGAAACATCTATTTCTCATCTTAGCTTGGGGAAGTATTGCTCACCAGGACACTGGTTCGTGCTTAAGGTTTTTGCCACAATTTGGAACAGTATGGCTGTAATGTACAGTGTTTGTCCTAAGCAGTAACATCCCTAAAATAGTGGTTTGGGTACTAGTGCTAGTTTCTTCTCAAATGCATATAAAAATGGATTTCAGGCAGTAAAAATATTTTATAACAAAACCGTATGAAATCTAGTTGTTCAGTTTTGGAAATAATTATATTATTGGTTTAGGATTCGGACCATTACACACACATGCACACCCCAGGGAATTAAATGGAGGAGCATAGTACAAAGACTATTTAATTTAAATTCAGGTAAGGTACTGTCGTTTAGTAGCTCAGAGAATGAACATGTTATTTAATTCTGCTGAGCTACATAAAAAGAATGTTATGGGACTTTGGAAAGTTGGCTAAAAAAATTGCATGTGTATGTAATATAACATCCCTGTAAACAAAAAAAGCTCCATAAATGTGTAAGATTAGTGCCTGATTGGCAACCACATTCATCACTAGTGGAGCCGAGAACTGGGCAACAAGTGCATGTCCTGTCTATGTGAATACCTTGAGCAAGTTCTTCAACTATTTCAGTAGTACAAGTGTAAAGGATTTTTAACTTCATAACTATTTGGTTTAATCTTATGAAAGGAGAGTGTTATATCAGGCACAGAGATATCTGTTGATAGGGTTAAAGTCCACCCTGAAATGATTCATCTGGTGAGCACATTTCCCTCTGTCCCAGACTGTCAAGATGCTTTAGAAAACATTTTCAAATGATATGTATGGTAGTCTGAGGAAACTCCCTTCTTTCTCCACATTTTGGAGTAGGTGGTGTCTAAATAAAAAGCTTTATTGTTAATATTGCATCTTCTGCCCCTGGGGGTGGCGTTTACATAAATAGTTAATTAAGAGCTTTTAACTTGAGCTGTTGTGGCATTTCTGTTCATTAATTTTATGCAAGCAGTTTGCAGATAAGGATCAACAACCCTCTGAAAGTGAGGGAGAAGATGATGATGTGGAAGCTGCCTTGAAGAAAGAAGTTGGTGACATTAAGGCATCCACAGAGATGAGGCTAAGAAGATTCCAGTCAGTGGAGAGTGGAGCGAATAATGTAGTCTTCATCAGGACACTTGGGATAGGTGTGTCTGACTAATACACTTTAAGATTATTGATCCTCTAATACCAGGACATCACCCTGTCTCAGAACACTGCCTACAAAATGGCTTCATGGGCATGGCTCAGTTAATCATTTGGTTGCATCCTCTCTGTGTGAGTACTGTGTTGGCGCTAGGCATGTGGAAGGGTGAAATGGGGTGGTGGACTAACATGGGCTTAGGAGTAGAAACCTAGGTTTGCCACTTCCTTTGTATTTAACTTTAGGCAAAACAAGAGTACCTGGTTCTGTCTAAAAGGAGCAGGCGCTACTCAGCTCTCCCAATTTGGAATGGCTCCAGACATTTGGGAATGTAGTCTCAGGAGAGCCAGATCTTCTGATTTTTCAAAAGAAGTTGGAAATCTGGAAGTTTCTATGTTTCTAAATGTAGCTAACTAATTTAAAAATATTGAAAACACTGAACAGCCCCAAATAGAATTGTATGTAGTCAGGATGCATCCTAAGGACTGCATTATGATCTTGTGGCTCAGGGATGACTCTGAAATCTAGACTTCTGTACAAACTTAGCTAGTGGATTGATTAAATCTTAAGTGACTTGAAGATTTTTGTTTTTGTAAAACATGTTCTATTTAATGTTTATTAGTTTGTTGCTGCTGTTGTAGGAAAACAACAGGATGACATTGTCGTCAGATAAATCAGACATCACGAATAGGTTAACTCCAGAGTCTTCATGAACAATTGTTTTTGATAAAAGCGGAATTAAAATATTAGATACAGTATTAATACAGAGTGCACCAAAGAAATATTAGTTGGAAGAAATGATTGGTTAAACTTGCTTAAAATTCTTTATCATAAGTTTTTTTAATCTACCGTCAGTTTATGTCACTGCCAGTGAAAATTCTTTTTAGACAGTTTGAAGAGTTTACAATGTGTGAGGACTTTGAAACTTACCTGTTTGTTTTGTGTTGATTTTTTTCTTTTAGAACCTGAGAAATTGGTGCATCATATTCTCCAAGATATATACAAAACCAAGAAGAAGAAGACTCGGGTTATTCTACGAATGTTGCCCATCTCAGGCACATGCAAGGCTTTCTTAGAAGATATGAAAAAATATGCAGAAACATTTTTGGAACCATGGTTTAAAGCTCCAAACAAAGGAACATTTCAGATTGTATACAAATCTCGGAATAACAGCCATATGAATAGAGAAGAAGTTATCAAAGAATTGGCAGGTATGTTTCTCTTAGTGATTTTGCAAAGGTGTGCCATGGTAAATATTTGCTTTTAAGATTTTTTTTTTAATATTTAGGGCTTATATTTTTGAGTGAGAGCAAGTGTTTTAAAATGTCATTAAATAATATCAAGCCTAACTTTTCAATATGTTGGGTATGAGATTATTTTTGGTAGTTAGATATAGTATAGTATAACACTACTAGTATATGTAGTGTTTCAACAACTACATTTCTGATAAGGTTAGCTATAAATTTAACAAATTCTAAATAGGGGGAGGTGAAAGATTGTTTTTCTATCCACCAAGCTTAATGGTATCTTTTTTTATCTTATTTTCCTTTTTGTTACAGGAATAGTAGGCAGCCTCAATTCGGAAAATAAAGTGGATCTTACCAATCCACAGTACACAGTGGTAGTAGAAATCATTAAAGCTGTCTGTTGCCTGAGTGTTGTGAAAGATTACATGTTGTTCAGAAAATACAATCTCCAGGAGGTGGTGAAAAGTGCTAAGGACTTGTCACAGCTTAACCCAAAGCAGGCAGCACAAACAGGAAATGGGAAAGAAGCTAAATTGGAATCTGGTGACAAATCGAGTCAAAATGACCCAGCAGAAGGAAAAAATAACCAGCAAGTGGTACCAGAGAACAGTGAGGAGCTGGGTCCAACAGGATCAATATCTGAGACACAGGTGGTGAATGAGGGGGTGGCTAAACCTAAACCTGAACTTGCAAGTCAAGTCACAGAAGGATCTGAATCAAATGAAAATGATCTCTGATAGGAAAAGAAATTGTTCGGTGTTGGAGGTGGATTTTTCAACTGCAGTTTTGTGAGATATTGCTGGGATTCCGTATAAAATTGTGACTAAAAATACTGTTTTCGATATTGAGTTCTGCATAATCGTTTACTCACAGTAGTGGAGCAGCTGTGTTAATAGTTTTGTTAGAGGTCTTTCAACCCTATATGGCAGTGTGCAGTAGGCCCACATGCATTTGGTTGGGTTAGAAGAGACTTTGGATAAATTGGTGAACACTACTGCACAGAGCAGAGGGTGGTAGGGGAATGATGTTGGCCTGTCCCTCATGATTACCTTCCCCACTCTCCCCTTCTGCACTCCTAGCTGACCTACAGGAGTGAACAGGCTCTGTGAAATCAACACTCAAGAGGGAAATTTCCATTCTAAGAAAGGAATTTTTGTGTATTTCAACTCAGTTGTCCACTGCCTCTTTTTGTTATAAACATTGGACAAACATGGGTTGTATAGGTTAGAAGTGAATTGTTTTGTGAATTTTTTTTACTTTTTGGGATTTTTCTTGTTTTGTTTTTATCCCACTCCCCACCCCCCTTTTTTTGACAGCACCATAGAGCGTGTGGGATCTTAGTTCCCAGACCAGGGATCCTACCCATAACCCCTACAGTGGAAGTTATGCTTGTTTTTATGTTTTAATAACATTTGTCACAAACAAATCTGATGGTGCAGTGGTGCAGTTTTTGAAGGCAAGGTTTGAACGAAAAATGCTCCATTCTAGGCCTAGAATTACAGACATTTCTGATAAGGTTGGTTATAAAGAATGTGTTTTCTGAGTCCCTGCAGTCCACTAGTTCTTTTTGTTATAAACATTGGACAAACATGGGTTGTATAGGTTAGAAGTGAATTGTTTTGTGAATTTTTTTTACTTTTTGGGATTTTTCTTGTTTTGTTTTTATCCCACTCCCCACCCCCCTTTTTTTGACAGCACCATAGAGCGTGTGGGATCTTAGTTCCCAGACCAGGGATCCTACCCATAACCCCTACAGTGGAAGTTATGCTCGTTTTTATGTTTTAATAACATTTGTCACAAACAAATCTGATGGTGCAGTGGTGCAATTTTTGAAGGCAAGGTTTGAACGAAAAATGCTCCATTCTAGGCCTAGAATTACAGACATTTCTGATAAGGTTGGTTATAAAGAATGTGTTTTCTGAGTCCCTGCAGTCCACTAGTGCAACAGGGACTCAAATGCTTTACACTGTAGGCTCCTTTACAATGTAAAGGGATTTATAATCCAAGCTGTCCCGTTCCATTAGAATGGAATATCCTTTGTGAAATGCAACTTACAAACTGAATATTTGTTTTAGCAGTTGTAACTGTAAATCATAGCCCCTTGACAAATAAAGATGATTATTTTAATGGCTTTGGAATACCAGGACAGTAAAACTTCGGTTCAGAAAAATCACATTCAGTGAAAAGGTTTCGAAAGCAAATTATTTAGTGGTATAATTTTTTCCAGAAAAGAAAAATTCACATAATTGATAAGAATCTAATAATACCAACATTTAGCTAGATCAAGAAGGAGTACAGGAAATTGAAAAGACTTTACTGTCAGTATAATAAATTGACTTACGTGATGCTAAAGAGGTTTTGTATTAAAAGCAGCAGCTTCTCTGTGTGAGCTGATGAATCAACAAGTTTCATGAATATTTGTCATGCTGTAGCATTTGTAAGATTTGTAAATGATCGGAAAATTCAATACAAAATGATTTGTAAATTCAAGAAAACTAAGTTGCTAGGAGCCTCTCCAAACAGTGGTCAATAAGATTTAGCAGGTCTTCATATCTGAAAACTCAGTGGTCTGTCATCTGTACTCCTAGTGCCCCATCAGTGGCTGGCTGCATGACAAGTTTTGCATCACTTTAATAAAAGAATATCCTGACTTTGGTGATTACAGCACATTGCTTTCTTCACAGTGTGAAGAAAAAACTTGGAGATATAAAAAGCATAGAGATGAAATGAAAGTTTTAAATAATGCTACAAAAGTGGTTAACTTAATTAAATATACATTTATGCAAGAATGTTTTTAAAACAAAAGAACCAACTAAAACCTGAACCAAGAGCATGTAAATAAAATCTCTTACATACAGAAATCCAATGCTTATCTGAGGAAGAGTTAGCCACAGGATATTTGAGCTGAAAAGTGAATTACCAGTAAGTTCTCTACAAGAAAACACTAGGCCAGATTTTGCTAAGTGCTTTGAAGATGGAGAATGGTCTAATTAGACATTTTTTCATTGCAAGAACAAGTGAGCTGTTTTTATGAGGGCCTGGAGAAAAATATATTTTTCTTAAAAGTGACAGGAGTCTTGGATTAAAAGAAACTGACTCTTAGGGATAATTATGTTGCATAAGGCACTCTTGATTTCCATAGACACTTGGGTTAGAGAATGAAGAAAGCAACGTCTCAAGCCTTATTTAAACTCTCCTTGAAGAATTGCAAAACCAAATTAAATAGCAGTTCCTCTCCTTTTCCCAACACTATATGACTGGGTGAGGAACCCTTTCTCAAAATCTCAGCCTGAGATTTTGTCATTGAGAGAGGAAGAACTGAGTCCTAATCTCACGGTTGTGTATTTCTCTGAAACATGAGTATCCTTCAACTTGGTGCTCACACACACATACTTTGCAAGTTTTTTCAGGGGTTCCTCCTGGGTAACACTGAAAAAAGAAGAGAGATAACAAAGAGGATTGCAAAATAAAATATCTGAATTGAGAATACTGAGGGGTTGTGAAATTAGTTTTTGGAGTTGGATTTATTTTTTGACAAGTTTGGCAGTATAACTGTTAAGTCTTCTGCACCAATGGCTGTATTTGTTTATTGGCTAGTGAACATGGAAATAATTTTTATCCTTCTAAGCTAGTGATTCTGCTGGTTAACCAGACCAGAAGAATTTGGGATGGGGCAAAGAGAATAGTTTCCCAGGTGGCTCAGTGGCAAAGAATCCACCTGCCAATGCAGGAGGCACAGTAGACGCAGGTTCAGTCCCTGGGTCAGGAATATCCATCCCCTGGAGAAGGAAATGGCAAACCACTCTAGTAGTCTTGCCTGGAGAATTCCATGGACTGGGGAGCCAGGTGGGCTATGGTCCATGGGGTTGCAAAGAGTCAGAGGTGAATGAACAGGCCAACCCATGCTATATTCGTAGAAAGGACCTTGCTAATGCAGATGAGACTGGCACTTCCTTATATATCTTTAGAGTGTTAACTCTTAATAAGTTGAAGTTACCTTGAAAGGATAATAAAAGCATTCTAAGTACCATTGGGGGAACGTGAATAATAGGATTTTGGTGCCTTCATCAGACTTTTTCCAAGACAAAGATACTTTTATTTTGATAGTACAAGACTCTGGGACTCTGGGAATAAAATTGGCTGTATGCATACAATTGTATGGAACTAAGTTCGTTTTATTTTGTGAAAGCTGCTACTCTACATAAAGATTTTGATTTAGTAGTTTGTTTTTAATCCCCTTTTATATTTGTATTTGGTAAGGCCTAAGTGTGACAAAAGCTCTTCTGCAAATACAAGGTACTACTGTGTTCTGTTGGAATCTGAGTTCTGTTCTGTCAGAATCTGAGTTCATTCACTGAAAGATTTATTTTCAAGTTTACCAGTTGTTTGTTTCCACTAATGTTTGAGCATATTATTTTATATATGATGGGAATCCAGGGTGGGAATGGAGTGCTTTTTCTCAGTTAATTTTTATTTAAAAAAATTAAACTCCACTTAAGTGTTGTGGTTTAGTAAACTTGTTTTGCTTTATGGAGGAAAGTGTTAAATTTGACATTTTAAAACATATTTCTCTATGATTAAACATGATTTCTGAATGTTGTTTTTACTTGTATTTTGCTTTTGATATGGCCAGATATTCAGCTTTTTTTTTTATTGTTCCTAATGTTTTCAGAAAAATAAAAATAAATTAGTTCCCTAAAGACTAGTGTTTTCTATCTCTACTTTTTCTTTCTGCCTCTTAGTAAAGCTCTTGCTTTTATAAAGTAATTATAAAGTAGTTTAATCATAAAAGATGTTTTTATGTCAAATTATGTATCAAGTCATGTGCATTGTCCAAAAAGTAAAGATACAAATATTAGTTTCTCTTCAATAACTAAAAACTTTTAAGCATTTTATGTCTAATTCAAGTGTTAGATATTTTACAGTGAGTTTGCTTCAAAATGAAGTATATAGTACAGTACTTAATTAAGTTCATTTATTGACTTTTGAATTCTTTAGAGTCCTTACTTTAACAGAAGTGTTTTGATTCACCTTAAAGAATTAGTAGCATATAAAGATTTAAAGTAGAAGAAATTGTGTCTTGAGCATTTCTCTTAGAATACTTCTAATCTTTATTTTGAATTAATCAGGCACAAGATAAATTCATTGTCCATTATGTTTTTCTAGTTAATCATTTGACTCCTGCTATTTTAAACACTACAAGCCATTTATCATTGCCTTTGTTGTTTGGTCGTCATTTTCTTCCCAAATATTTTTAGATTTTTACTTACTTATTTTTTGGCGAAGTGCAAAACAAAAATTCAGTAGAGTTTTTCAACCAGGAAAGATCGTAAGCATTTTAAGAGGGTAGTCACTGAATTATTGGGAAGCAAGGACTAAAAGAAAGCAGCCCTGTTAACTGCTTAATGCCACGGTGTTCTCATCAGGCTAGGTTCGACCCCATTCATGGTCTCTTAAAACGTTGCGTTTGATTTTCCCAGTGATTGTCTTTGGGAGTTCTTTAACAAATTCCACCTAGTTAACAGAAAAACATATAATGAGACACTTGATTAAGTTTGCTATGCCCACTAGTAAAGCATGTGACTTTTAAGTGTCTGATCAAGTGTCTGTTGACTGTCAGTGTCTGTCATGTTAAGCTAATTGAATGTCTTGGTCACCAGAAACTGTTCTGTTTATATATGAAGATGACAGTGGAGTGCCATCATGCTGGTCTGTAATGCCCGTTTGCTTTACAGAAGAACAGTCCCTTTGTTCTGTTGCTTTCCTCTAGTTCAAACCAGACCTAGGTCTCTACTTCCCCAGGGAGATGGAGGCCACAGCTGAGTGCAAAGAGAAACATCAAGTTAAT